AAGCTGTTTCTCCAGCTGCACACACACAAATGCAGGCTATATTTGTGAATGGAATACTGGTATTTTTTTTAAAGTATACTACTTTTATTTTAATTTTTTTCAAAAGCATGTATATACACTATGCAACAACAAATGGTTGCATGCTGCGCTATTGCTATGTGACTTTACTATATTGAATTTTGGAAAGTGTTGTAAATTTTGCAAATTAAAGGACTATTTTGCATTTTTAATCCAGTTTTGCAAGTCCAGTCGAATAGTCTAGAAAGAGATAAATTGCCTCCGGTTCAGTCTGGCGTGGTGCATTGTGGGATGTAGTACTCATCACAGTGTATCCTGGTTGTTTACGGCATTTGTTAAGTGTAGTATTTAATTATTATCACCAAACTGCAAAAAATGACTTATCTTACTTAGTATTTTGATCTTGTTTCTAGTCAAAATATCTAAAAATTATTAAATCAAGATACTTTTACTAGATAAGCAAAGTGACTTAAGACATTTAGTCTTGTTTCCAGGTGGAAAAAAAAACTAAATTAAGTGCATTTTGCTTAAAACAAGTAAAATGATCTGCCAGTGGGGTAAGTAAAATACTCTTGTTTTAAGAATATTTTACTTACCCCACTGGCAGACAATTTTACTTGTTTTAAGCAAAATGTACTTAATTTAGTTTTTTAGACTAAATATCTTAAGTCACTTGGCTTATCTAGTAAAAGTATCTTGATTTAAGAATTTTTTGATATTTTGACTAGAAACAAGATACAAATACTAAATAAGATAAGCCATTTTTTGCAGTGCACCACATTAATTAGTTATAAATAGTAGGACATATTGCTATAAACATAAATCAACCAAAACCTGCCATATTTATTTTTCGCCAAATTGGATTTTTCTGGTGCAATCCATCAAATCAGATATCTGATCTAACCTGTTCAAGAACAATTAAATGTCTAAACAACCACTTGCCCTGAGAGTGTGTGTGTATATGCATATAAATATTTTTTCTATAAACACTGGATTTGCATCTCTTTGAAGTAAATTGCGGAAATGCATCAATCAGTCTTTTATGACAGTGGCATCTGATAACAAACCTTACCCTTAATAATGTTTACCAAGATACACACATACTGTGTGCTTACGGAATTGGGGAGATTCCTGCCTTGATCCACTTAATTGTGTCCATAAATCTTATTGTAGAACGTCATCTGATGGAAAAGAGGTTTAGTGAGCGAGGTGTGCAAGTAACATTTCCTAGAGGGCTTTGCAGCTGGAATGAACGGGCTTCTTGACATGTTTGAACTTAGAATTGAGGCAGGGATAAGCAAAAACATACACCGACATATATAGAGAATGGGGCTGTCAATTGATTTAAAATTTTAATCAAATTAATTACATGACATGCTAATTAATCAATTACATGTATCAATATTTGCTGGGAAATTCCCCAAATAAAGATAATTCAAAGACATTGCATTACAGCGGCTGATGAAAATGTAGACAACATGGAATTAAATCATGGAATACATGCAAATAAGTGGCTTTAGAAAGAAATTAAAATTTCCACTAAGTGACATTTCCAACATGTATTATGTTTAATAGCAGCCTGTGATGCAAATGACAGTAGCCATAGAAAATGCATTTTTGACATTTTAAAAATAAAATAGACAACTCCTTTGACTTACTAAGGCTAATTTCATAGCTAAGATTTTAATTAACAAATCTTTTCCCACTATTTGCATAATTTCACAAAATACCTTGATTGCTCTCTGTTTTCTTTACAGACAAACAAACAAACAAACAAATAAATAAATATTTTTTAACCAAATTCCATTGTGGAATTGATTCCTTTGTGATGTTTGTCATTAAAAAAAAAAAATATATATATATATATTTTTTTTTTAATTCACTCTTTGTATAGATTTGTTTAGATAATAATTTTAAACGTGATAATTTATATTATCAGAATAAATCTTCATATTTAAAGATTGGAAGTCTAGATGTGGGACAAGGGGAAAACAATAACACACACACATATATATATATATATATACAGTATATATATATATGATTTAAAAACACGTGACTTTCAGGCATACAACATAAGACCACCCAAACTGCCATTTTTGGCTGCATCATATTTTTTATTGTACACATGTATATGTACGTCTTTGTTTGATCTTTCTCAATGTCTTGCACCATGAGTGCTGCATTTTTTAAAAGAGTTCTATGAAAAACATTTTGAGATCCTTGTGTTCCATTCCTTTCTATTGCGTTCGATGCAGCTGTTTTTGAACGCAAGAACACATCACCTGTGAACGTCTCCTTTCTCATTTATGCAGTCACACAAGGTGTTATTTCACGCTAGTATTGCCTCAGTGCAGGAAAAGCCCTCATTATGGAATGGTATGATTAATTGCGTAAATGTTTTAATGCAATATTTTTTATATAATTAACTAAATGAATGTATTATATTGACAGGCCTAATACAGATGCAAAGTTATAGCCAAAGATACAGGTAAAACCTCCTGAATACAAGAACCAAACATACACACAGTTAACCTCACAAACAAACATTAACAAAGACCATAATCCGGTTAAAACTGACAGATATAATTTATTTTCCACCACCGGCTAATAGTTTATGCCACACTATCTCATGCGCTACGTCAAAATTCTTTCAGTTTGGAATTGTTTGAACAACAGCGGCGTGGTTATCCCTTTTTTCTGAGCGGATGACTGCGCGGTGACAGTGAATGATGTATTTTTTCTCCTTTCTGCAAGATTTCTTTTAAACAAACATGTGAAGGCCTTTGTGTCAGCCTGTCTATATTTTGGCGTTTCAAAACCTCGTCTTCTGAGCCGCCGTGTTAATAATCACCTTGACTTCCATCAGGCTTTAACATGAAACAATACATCCGCGCTGCCTTGAACCACACTTCAATGAGCTTATCATACGGCCTCCCCAGCACCCAAACACACACTTTTATGCAAATATTGTGTCTATTTCACTTGAGAATAGGAAAGGTGTTATTAAATCTTATTTTGCATTATTCTGTTTTGAGGGATAAATCTATCAAAGAAGCTTAAATAATTCAATAAGTTATGTATATTTTTTTGTTGTTTTTATTTATTTGAACATTTTTTAATTAAGCACCATTGTCAGTAGATGATGTGTCGGGTAAATTGTGTGCTACCGACGGAGGAAATGACAGAGAGAGGCTTGTGAAGTGTGTAAATTGACTGAGTGAGTGGCTGCTATGTGCTGTTTTAATGTAAAGTGAGTTGTGGGGAAAGCTGCTAAAACTGAGGCCAGTTTAAGCTGCTGGTGAGATGTTATTTTAAGCCCCACAGGTCAGGTGGGCCAATCCCGCTGACCCCTGTCAACACCATCATAATTTAGTGCTCTGTGCGTTTGTGTATGTGCGTTTGCCTCTGTAGGCTCCATATTTCATACTTTGCTCAGTAAAATATTAAAGAAATGAATAACTAGGCCTAATCATTTAAAGTAATTCAAGTCAAGGGGAGGAGTAAAACAAAGTAAGAGGTCTTGGTGATGTCACTGGAAAAGGAAAGTCGTTTCAAAAGCAGAGGAATTTAGAAAATTTTGATCAAACATTGTGAAAACAATTTTTTTTCCCATGCACAGTAAGACCAATAATGTGCATTTAGAAAGTAATAAGGCTAGTTTTCAATTTGTTGACAATTTGAAATTAGAGTGATGCTCCTCTTTTGAAAACATCAACAATAAAAATTAATTAGCTGCATTACAAGCTACTTACAAAACGCAGTACTTTGCGACTACTACATTGCAACTCTTTTGTGACTGTCTTTTAACTGCGACTATGTATCTCACAATTGAGACTCTATTTCTTATAACTGTGACAATTATATATTAACATATACTGATATATTTAATATATTTATATATTAATGATATAAAACTATATCTCTTGTTATTTTTAATTTACATATAACAGTTGCAACTTAATTTTTAGTAATTGTGACTGTATCTCACAATTTCGACATTTATTTCTAACATTTGCGACTATATTTCATAATTGCAACTATTTCTCGTAATTGTAATTTTATTTCACAATTACAACTACATTTCACATTATTTTTAATTAAAATTTTTAATTCACATCACAATTGACTGCATTTTCCATAATTGTGACGATATCTCACAATTGCAATATTATATCTAATAATTTACTTTATATCTCACATTTGCAACTATTTCTTGTAATTTTTTATTTATACTGTATATCATATTGTGACTTCATTTCTCATAATTGTGACTGTATCTCACAATTTTGTCATTTGTTTCTAACAATTGTGATTTTATATTTCACAATTACGTGTTTATTTCTCATAACTGTGCCAATATCTCTCTCAATTGCGACATTATTTTAAAAAAATGTGACTTTTATATCTTGTAATTGTATTTGGCGCCATAAAGAGTTAACGCGTGATGACTTAATAGTGATACATCAACTGGTGCAATGAAATGAATCAAATCGTCCAAATGAACCAATCTGCTAAAATCAATTGGAATTTCCCAGTGGTTTTTCTCAATGCATGTACGTCTATGAACGTATTTGATTGGTCCGACCATTTCAATGTCTTGCAAATTACATTTGTAACACTAGACACTTTCTACTATCTCCTATTGTTGTACCCTTTAGCCAATGAATGACCTCAGCAAGCCGAGGATATTTAAGCACAATATGGTCTTTCCGTCAGTCAGTCAGTGTTTTCAGGTTAGTTAAGTGAGTCTGTAGTGTGTAAGAGGGAACCTTGTCAATCAAAGCTTAGACTGAACGTGATGGAATCTTCTGACGCAATCTCTGAAAGCAGCCGCACGAGAAAGGTCTGACGCTTTCAATTAAAATGTCAATCAGGGATTACACACACACTTACATATATACACAAACAAACACACACACACACACACTATACACAAACACACACACACACACTCAGTTCTCTAAGTGTGGCCTTGGCACTTACAAAGAGCTTACAAATCCCACTTTTGCCTGCAGGCATCCCGGCTCAATGCTACACAAGTACTCTCTTCTTTCTCTTTCGCTGTCTGTCTCATTCTGTACATACACATATTTGCACATTACACTTTCATATACAATTTGTTTTAATCTATTTACATGTAATTGTGCTACATTTAAGCTTGTCAAATTTGTATTTATTTATTTATTTATTTTACATTGCAAACAGGAACAGGAATTGTATTGTATATAATGATTCTGATACTTTAAGGAGTCCATTAATGATTATTTTGGTACTTTTAAAGAAGCAACACCTTAATCAAGTAATTAGTCTCAAGTATACACTAGAGTCACAGTAAGTAGATAATTAATCATAACAGCAGTTCTCAGTTTATTCTGAGTTTCGTCATGCCAACAGTCATGAAATGTTCTTAGTGAAGAACCACTCCAAATGATTAAGTTAGTGAGTGATTCATTAGACTGATTCAAACTTATATCTTCCCCATCTCCAAATATGCTTAATTTCCTACTATGCACTCTCAGAAAAAAAAAAAAAAAAAGGTAGAAAAGCAATCACTGGGTGGTACCTTTTCAAAATGTACTCTTTTGAACCTTATTTACTTCTAAAGGGTGCATATAAGTACCTTAAAGGTCCCCTGAAATGCTTAGAAACACGCAGCGTTACTCTGTGTTGACGTCATTTTAACTGAAACAGGAAGACAGGGCGGGACATATCAAGCAGCCGGATGCAGGGGCAGACTTGGCTGCAGCTACCGCTTTACTATCCTTTTTAGAGGGCTCAATCTCCTCCAAGATCATGGGAACTTCATCAGCCTCGTCATAGCCACGACTCAGTCCTCGATGAATCATAGAAAGCAGTTTGTGCTTACGTGGTCGGTATTCGTCATCAGCCATTCGAGCAATTTTGTGCATGGCAAAGCCAAGGTACATAATGGACGGTGTGGTGATCATAATAATTTGAAAAACCCAGAATCGGATGTGTGATAGAGGGGCAAATGCATCATAGCATACATTATTACAACCGGGTTGTGCAGTATTGCATACGAACTTGCCCTGTTCATCTTGATAGATGGTCTCACCGCCCACCACTGTCAGAACAATTCGGAAGATAATGAGGAGTGTGAGCCAGATCTTTCCCACAAAAGTGGAATGGTTGGAGATCTCATCAAGCAAGCGAGTCAAGAAGTTCCAACTCATGGTGCCACCAAAACAAGAAACCTGATCTGCAGAAGTACAAAAAAAAAAAAAAAAAAAAGGTAGAAAAGCAATCACTGGGTGGTACCTTTTCAAAATGTACTCTTTTGAACCTTATTTACTTCTAAAGGGTGCATATAAGTACCTTAAGACTAACATATTGATACTAACACCCAAAAAACTTTAATTTTGATTTCATGGGGACTTTAAACGTAAATATTAGTACCTCTAGTGTATATATTAGTACCTAAATGGGTACCGCCCCACGCAAAAGCGGTAAAATGGGATTTGTCATATTCATAAATGGCAGGCAACCAGCAATGTGGCTGATATTGCAGGTAACACGATGACACCAATATGGTGGATGTCTATATGGTATACGATTGTATTCGTACTACACACGTATACTTTTAAACAGAGTGAATTTGTGATTTTGAGACTTTTTATAAAGAACCAGCTCAGAGTTATTCCTTTCGAGAATTGGACTACACTGGTCGTGCTTTTTGATGTTGTTGTTTTTTTTCCATTGTACTTCAGATTCAGTAGCAGTGCAACGTTGCATGAACACCAAGACACTGTTGTTGTGTTCCACTTGCATATGCGCAAGAAACCGCTAACGGAACTGAACGTAATGGAAAATCACTTACTGTATGAAGATTGTATTGAGAATTGATGAATGGCTCTGTCTTCAATTCTGGAAGAGCAACTTTAGATTCTAAAGAAGTTTCGTCGGCATTGTATATGTAATATTAAACACACTAAGAAACGAAACTGAAAAGGAAACGAAATGGAACAAAGAAGGGTGCCAAATGAAACTTTATTTTGCATAGATGTTAAAATCTACATGAAAAATGTTGCATGAATTTATTTAGGTCAGACAGTAGTTTGCATACAGTGACAGCACACTTAACAAATCAACATTAGCTTGTAGTAGTCTGTGTACAGTACTTTTGTGTGTGTTTGTTTAAGACTCAGAATGGATTTGTCTTCACAGGACAAACGACACGTTAAACCAGGTTGATTTATGAATGCGTTGAGTGCAGACACTAAAAGAAATGAACACCGTCTTTGATACAAAAACACAACAGGGACATTCCATTCTTCCCTGTGAGTCCGACCAGACGGCTGTGGCGTAAGACAGAGGGGGTTGCTAGCGCCAGACATACCTGTCAAGGTAAGGCCATATCAGGTGCTGTTCCCAGGAGTTCAGGTAGCTGTTGAATAGAGTGGGTGGAGGGGTGAGAGGTCAGGCCAGACCCTCTCAACAAGGGGCTGGAGAGGTGATCATCTAGGATTTTTGCCTTCTGATCATAGTTGAAGTGTTGTCATTCAATAGCAAGATGACAGATTTTTTTTTTTTTTACCTTATTTCCATTTTTTTTTCTTTTTTTCTCATTATTAAATGTTTTCTCATTACAAAATGAAATGCTTAGCTACAGTACGGCCTCAATGAGCTTATTGCTTTAATAAAATAGTTATATATTAAAAATATTTAATAAAAAAGTTGTCTCACTGTCATGTTATTCCAAATCTATAAGAACATCACAATACTAAAATATTTTGAATTCATCCAAAACTTGAAAGTTTATAAAGACATAGTAAATCTAAAGTGGTTTAATCCAAATCTTCTAAAGAGAATGATCACTTTATATGAAGAACAGATATTATATTTATTCACATATAAACACTGATCAGTGAACATACATAACGCTCATTTGAAATAACATGAGGGTGACTGATGACAGAATTTTAATTTATGTGTGGACTAACCATTTACGGGCACACATTTCGATTCAATTTTTATTTTATTAATTATTATTTTATTTATTATTTTGACATGGTTGATTATAAAAAAAAAAGTTTATTTAAAATCAAACAAAAAAACGTAAAAATCAGAAAATGAGGATATGGTGAAGCACTTACAATTAAAATGAAAGTTACAATGAAACATCTTAGATCCCTTAATTCTACCCCCAAATCTCAACATAATCGCTTTTATAGAGTAAAAAGAATAAGAAAAGTGTACAAAAACCATATTAGTTTCAATGTACCATTAAATAAAATGTGAGCTGTTAATCCAACTCCTACTTCTAAACCTATATATATATATATATATATATGAAATGGTTAGGGTTAGGTTTAGAGGTAGGAGTTGGATTAGCAATTAATAATTTATTTATTGCTAAAATGTCAAAAAGCAGAACCAAAGTAGTATTATTTCCATTATAACTATGCATATGCAAGATGTCAATCAAATATGGAACAACTTTTACATTAGGTGTACATTTCTCGCTTCATCACAAGTAAATCTGCATTAACATTACCATATTTTAACTTTGTTGTTTCTATGTTAAAGTGAAGTCCCAGATAACCCTAATTCACCCAACTACACTCTGTAACCTTTACTAAGAAACAGAGAAAGTTTATCTTACATATTGGTTTTCATACATATTTCATCATGTATTGATGTGCCTTTCATTAGATGCTAGGATGTATCTTCCATTAGCTCCTTATCTGTCCCTCTGAATTTAGCGTTGTACATATGCATCTTAATTTATAATGCCTGATTAATTTCTTATCTGGAGTACAGCATGGAAATACATCCCCTTATGTCTTGATAAATCATCATTTGGATTTTAGTTTAATGAAAACATTGATCTCATTGATCTTTTTTTAACGATTGTTTTCATTCGTTTGATTCGGATGAACATGAATACACCACTATAATATTAGTCTGAATATCTGAAATCTTTATCAACTTAATGTGTTCTTGAGAAAAGCATAATAAATCTATCATGAACTCTTTAATGAGTGCAATTTTAAAAGTATTTGTACATTTGCTATTGCCTGCAACACAAGCACTAAAACCTGTTCCGACCAGCAGTGTTGGGGAAAGTTACTTTTAAAAGTAATACATTACAATATTTTCTCTCAACATGGGGACAGGAGAGCTGTCAATCAATAAATTGGAAAAAAAAAGTAACTTGCGTTACTTATTTGAAAAAGTAACTCAGATATTCTCTTGTAAATTAAAAAGTAATGCGTTACTTTACTAGTTACTTGAAAAAAGTAATCTGATTACGTAACTTGCGTTACTTGTAATGAATTACCCCCAACACTGCCGACCAGCATACTACCTACTCTTTCTACTGTACCCATGTAGTACAGAGATGTTCTACTACACCTGATGATATATAAAGTATGCAGTAAATCACATGCTGCATGAGGTAAAGTATCCCACAATGCAATGCGTCCTACTTTAAAGAACCAGAAGCAATATCAACAGCCATTTTTGACTCCTTATTTAAAACATAATATTTAATAGTAGTGCAGCACACGCCAAACACGTACACTGAATAACTGATGTAAATGCATAAATATGTTGTATTGTTCAAATAATAATTTGTTTGCAGTAATGCTAATTTGATGATTGGCCAAATTGTTATTGGTTTTTAGAAAACACCCTTACTAACACACCCATGCACAGTTAACAGACATGCGAATGTATGCACAAATACGGACATAACAATTAAATGTTGTTTGTTTTATTTGCATTAGCAAAATTACATTCTATATCCTTGAATTAAAGTGTTTTCTGTGAATTAGCATTATTTTTGTAGTCTTGCATTCTAAATCATTATATCGGTGACTATGTTGGTGGACAGTGGCTTTTAGATAAACTAATGTCAATAGCTGTGTTTGAAGGTTGGAATACTACTAGATTAAATTATTTTATCAAAATCTCTACTGGTAGACAGTCACTTTTAGACGAGTGAAGGATGAGTTAGAATGAGTACATACAGACAAAGGCAAAAATGTGCACAGCACAGATACACAAACACTGATCATTTGATTGTGACAATATAGAGGTGTGAAATTAACAGGAATACAGCAGCCCTCCGGGTGAATGAAGATCAGCATGTTTGTTTTATTCATATTTACAGGTGTGAATGCAATTACTAATGGAAATATTTATTTACTAAATAAATATTTATTTTATTTAAACGTAAGTACAATTTTAAAGTGCACTGTAGTAATGTCAAATTTAAAAAGTTTAAAGTACATTTGTACTGTGTAGTAGGCCGATATTACAGTTAAATAAATTTAATATACTTTAAATGTACTAAATGTGACCCTGGACCACAAAACCAGTCTTAAGTCGCTGGGGTATATTTGTAGCAATAGCCAGAAATACATTGTATGGGTCAAAATGATTATAGATTTTTCTTTTATGCCAAAAATCATTAGTATATTAAGTAAAGATCATGTTCCATTTAGATATTTTGTAAATTTCCTACTGTACATATATTAAAACTTAATTTTTGATTAGTAAAAGGCATTGCTAAGAACTTCATTTGGACAACTTTAAATGGGATTTTCTCAATATTTTGAGAAACCCTCAGATTCCAGATTTTCAAATAGTTGTATCTCGGCCAAATATTGTCCTATCCTAACAAACCATACATCAACGGAAAGCTTATTTATTCAGCATTCAGGTGATGTATACATCTTAATTTCTAAAAATTGACCCTTATGACTGGTTTTGTGATCCAGGGTCACAAATATATTTAAATACATGATTCTAATAGAAATGACATTAAAGTAAATTGTGCTGTGTCGTTAAATAATTGTCAGTACATTTGGCAGTGTAATTTAACCGTATTCCAAAAATAACAAAAGTAACTATGAAATTACAGTACATATGAAGATGTACTTAAAAAATAATAATGTTCTTTTTAGCAACATCATATGACCCCTTTAAATGGAATGAAAATGTATTATAATTTAAATTTATATTTAAAACAGTGAAAGTATCTCTCTTTAAGTATACTTAAGTGGCCTTTTATTTCATTAATATTATGTTATCTGCAAGTACATTTCATTTGATTTATCAATTAATTTTAGATTTATCAGTGATAAATATAATATTAAAATAATATAATATTAAATAAATACAAATATAATAAAATAAATATAATATTAAATCAGATACAGGGTGAAGTAAATGTACAGGTGAACTTAGTC